AGTCTATATCGTTAGTAAACTAGTGCTCTTTCATATTACTGTATTGACATTGATTGGAGAAATTGGTTGGTTGGTGAAAGAATTTCTGTTCGTAAGAAGATTAAGATACTTAGGCCTATATATAAAAACGATTAACTCAATACATCTTGGCCCATAAACTGTGAAAACAATATAAATAAATAGTTGAGGACTGGTGATATTATTATATATTATTTATTTATTTATTTTTGGCTGACAGTCATTTATATTTATTTTTTGTACAACATATTTCAAACCTGTCTCTTATACACATCTAGATGTGTATAACAATTAACCTGATTAAACTAAATAGTATCCTATCATTAAATTCGTTAACCTCATATGAGATATAATATCTTCCTTGCAATGTTCATTGCATTTTCGTTAATTAAGGCAAGCTTAGCGTCACCGACGTTAAGGCCGACGCGATTCACAACTACGACACGACGAGCGCGCGCATCTATTCTTAACGACGATCCACTCAGCCTTCCACCGACAATGAAGCACCCAAACGGACGGACTAATCTTTGACCGTTTGCCGAGGGGATGGGTCAGTTTAGGGGACACGGCTCATAATTCGCGTTGTATAGAGATTAACACACAGTCACACGCGTGATTCAAAATACATTAGGGAGGTTTCGCAAGCTTACGAAAACGATAACTAATACGGACACGCCATCAAAATGTCTAGTCATCCATGCCTCAGGTCATGCCTTAGGTCATCCTTAAGTCATCCATGCCTTTTACATGAATCAACGATCATATAATGTTTTGGCACAAACGACTATAATGATGATGACGTATTCGTTATCGTTTTCGTAAGGTTGTGAAATGTCCCTATTATCATCCAAAACGAAAATATCATTAAACGGCATTGAACAAACGTGCTATGATAAACGGTGTTCCGTACAATTTATGAACTCTATAAATGTTGATATAGGCTATATATAATACGGTAATAATAATTGTCGACTTATATAGCGCATATTTTAGGGACATCTATGCGCTTACATTATTACCCCGGATCAAGCACATATGGAACACACACTCAAGACCCATGGGGCCCGGGAATTTCATAATGTTGCAGCTGTGTTCGGCGCAGGCTGTGTTTGAACCTACCAGGTACCCACTTGTACTCCTGGGTGGAGAGACACAACCGGAGATAATACCCAAGGCAGCCACTTCTATTGCAAAGGCAACAGTTATTTAATGCAATAAATATATTGTTTATTCCAAATGATAGAAGCAGGCATGGCTCATCCACGAACGCACAGCACTCTGAGTGAGACACGCTCAAGGACTGCAAGCCGACTGGACCAAAACTTAGAGAATGCAGGATCTCCGTTAACGTATGGCACAGAACTTTACGATCCAAGAACAGCTCATGGCTCGGTGCTCCATGATAAGGATGACGACTTTACAGGTCTATCGAAAAGGTAAACTACCTTACATATATTAATAACAATAATTTCTAAATAATTATAATAATTAGCATAACAAATAATGATATTATCCTTGCCGAGCTGTTAGGGATAATGGTGCTGGAGCTTACCCACCCCCTGATGCTCCCCCTGAGTGGGATGCTGTTCCACTCCCAGCAATTTTCTGGTACCCATTTATACTGCTGGGTTAACTTGATCAATGACGAAATGAGCGAAATTGAAACCCCAACCTTGAAGTTGAAAAAAAAAAAGAGAATTCCAATGCGTCAAACCCCTTAATATAAAATTAGTAATACTGATAACGATTATTATTATTTTAAATTATTATGACTACTAAAATTGTTATTTTTATAGTGAATATTACTATTATTAGAATATTTTTGCAATAATTAACATTAAATATTGTCATAGAGCTAATCAGCTAATTATTATCAATATTTTTATTGATTAGGCCTATTATTAATTCTCCGTGGGTAATTAGCTTTACAGAAACAACTTAAAATGGTCCGAAACTCTTTTAATAATTACATGCAGCGAGGAAACCCCTACAAGGGCTTTAACTCCACTCTACCGGGCCCCTCTCCGTTCCCACTGAAAATAGCCTGTTATCTCCTGTAGATTGATATTCCCCATTCACTGTAGGTTAACAGAATAGAGTAATAGGCATAACAGTTATCATGCACTTAGCCCTAATATAGCTCTGATAAGAAAGGGAATATTGGTGTCGGATTGTGGATTAAAGTTCACTAGGTTAGGCCAAACTATTGCATATTGTTTATCAACTTTCACATAGTCTTATTATCTAAGTCAAATATGAGCGAGATACGATTAAATCAAAAGAATGATTATCTTGAGCAATGAATATAACGGACTCCGCTTAACTACAAATAAATGCAGTATTATCATAGTTAAATAGGTCTAAGTTAATAAGCCAATTCTTAGTTCGAACAGCGCATGCCCGTATCAAGAGCAATCGACGACATAAACAAACATTCACACAACATACGTTTATGACGATTAACCTAAAGGCCAACTCAGACAGCGTCGGCCGACGCAGCCCGACGCGATTTGTTGTCGCGTCGGGTCTGTGTGAGTTGAACGCAGACGCGATGGTGTGCGTCGGGAGCAGTCGCGTCGTGGAATATTAAACGTGTTTAATATTTCTAACGACGGCTAAAGACTGTCCCCGACGATAAATCGCGTCGGGCTGCGTCGGCCGACGCTGTCTGAGTTGGCCTTAAGATACCACTGGATATGCGCTTTCAAATCACGATTTTTTTTATTATTCAAGACGTGAATACGTCATATAACGGGGTATAATACCCCCCCCCCCAAAAAAAGGAACATAAACCTTTCTAAAATCAAGAATAGACTAACAGGAAAGAGTTTAGCAAAACCTGGTTTCCATAAAAGCGCTACATTCTACCACAGATAATATGGCGACACCGGCTGGTCGATTGAATTGAGAACATTCTCGAATGTGATGGGGACAGCGCATGGTGGAACATTTGCAATGAAAACACTGTAACGACAGTGTAGCGACTGTATGGAAATCTAGCTTCAGGCTAGGCCTACTGTTGTATTGATGCGCTATCGTTACAGGGAGCAGATGCCGCTATAGCACCTCCCGTCAAAGCACTGCCAATAATACTGACGGCAATATCTATGAACATTTAAGTGGTTGGTAGCAGAATTTACCCCTAAAGGATTGTAGATATTAAAATACCAGTAATAAATATGTAGAAACATTGCTTATACTGTAAATGTTATAGACAATGTCTTACATTCATATTAGGCTTCAGTGTGTGCCCGATTTTAATTTGGTCTCTCTTTTACAATACAGTACTAAAACAGGTTTATGTACTCAGTATAAATGGGTTTTTTTTGGTTTTTTTTTTTGTGCTAAATACAGAAATTAAATTCATACTGTAAATTTTTATAAGAATTAATGAGAATTCTATTTTCTAATATGAAATTTTATTTAATTTCATTTTTTTACGAATCTGTGGCTTTATCTGACGTCATCAGTGAAATAAAGGAGAAAAGAAAGTAAGTTAAATTGATTGCATTCGCTTTCCAACACATATTTCACTTTATTTTTGTGATACGATAGAACATTAGGCCCTATTTAAAATTCAATCATGTTATCATCAGACAATCACATGTCATGCAGGCTGTATCTGCAGTTCTGTAAATTTAATATAATTTTATCGAATGACAGTAGCAGAATGGCGAGAAAGATTGCATATTTTGTTGTTTTGTAGGCCTAAGTCTTCGTAAAGATACAATTCTCCCTCTAATTAAAGACCACGTCTGAAACCGGGGTTGCCATAGTCTTTAGCAACTTTGGTCTCTAATTACAATAAGATTATTGACATTATCAATTTGGGACCACAGTGGTCTTTCATTGGAGGAGGTCTTCATTTAGAGAGAGAACTGGTACATAAGGCGACCTAGGCCTGCTATAATTATTAGGAAGCTTTCTGCTGACGTTACTAAAAGCTAACGTCACTTAAAGCCCCATTCCCGGCAAAATTTCAATTTTTAAGAAAAATCTAATTTTTGTATAACGTTATAAAGATTTATAAATATAATACGGAATTGC